CCCCCCCCCCCCCCCCCCCCCAATCCCGTGGCTCTGCTCAGTCGCTGCAGCGTGACCGGGGGGGCGGGGTTGGGGGCATTTATGCTGGTAGGCTCAGCTTTTTCCCCTTCAGCACTGTAGAGGGAGCAGAAGGATGATGTCAGCAGTCACGTTAACGAGTTCTCCGCCGCCGCAGTGTCGCAGGTTACCGGCTCGCATGTTTTGATGCGCGACGCGGCAGTCGGCCAGACCGAAGAGCTTTCGGCTTCTGATCCTTACTAATGAATCCGACACTCAGCATTCAGCACTGTCACAATTCACATCCAAAAATATGCAACCTAACTCAAGTGTGTCCCATTAGGTCACAATCCTTATTACAATGGAGGGCCTGATATTTAGTGAGTGAAGCAGATTGGAGAAATTTTAAACCAGGAACCAAACTATCCATATAAACAGAGCGGTAGCTCATGGATTTGGAGCATAAAGCTGCCTGTATTTTTTTCTCTCCTCCCAACAAGGTCAAAGTTCATTTCGCAAAATGCATTTTATAATTTTTATTATTATTATTTTTTTTACTAATTCTGCTTGCTGTGAGTGCAGTTGTGAGGCTGTGTCCACGTACGCTCACCTTTGGTGATATACAGGTAGAAGAAGTCACAGTAGAGGATGGTCTGCACCAGGCCTGCTACGACGGCGATCAAATCAAAGAAACCCTCGAAGTAGAAGCGCCAGATCCAGTTGAAGAGGTAGAGCGTGCGGTACAGGCCCAGGAAGAACAGGTAGTGCGTGGTGATGGTCTCCGCCTCGCCCGTCTTGCTGATCATGAACAGCTGGGGCAAGATGGCCACCGACTCCAGATAGATGGAGAAGGTCCAGAGGATCTGTAATGATCATGAGGGACAGTGTAAAGGTCTTGGGGTACCATGATGAGAGAGCTGAGACTTCTAAAGTGGGGAGTGTCAGAATGCCCGGGACATCCTGCGAACGGAGCCCATGGATCATCCCTTCATCAGAAAACCATTCGAGCCCCAAACACGTCATGGGCCAAGAAAAGCAAAGGACTGGCTCAGGGTCGGCGTCATGGGACGGATGGCCGTTCCGTCTTGGTTCATTTCGTTTTAAACATTGACAAACTTTTCACAGGTTTAAAATATCATGATATGCAGAACTAAAATGAAGGTCTTTCCAATTACTAAGCACTTCCAATGGTTGCTTCAATGCTTGAATTGTTTTTGCCTTTATTTTGAAACTTCTGCATGTACTAATGGAAAATAAACTATAGGTATTCAGTGTAGATTTGGAAACAGGGAAGGAAAGCCTGCATTTTTGGTTCGTTTTGAACACACTTGATTTTAATAAAAATGTTTGAGACATCCGATATGTGGCTTTCACAAAATTAAAGAGACTACTTCATAGAAAACACACACATTGCTATTCTGCCTACAAATACTGAGATATGATTTTCAGTCCATATTTCTTCTTGTGTCAGCAGACACTGGGCCGGACACAAATTCACATCAGCACCACCCCCAAGACCTTTAACGAGGAAGCTCACCTCCATGGGCGCGAAGGCGTGGTTGATCAAGACGGCCAGCAAGACTACTGGGATAAGGAGGAACTCCACCCTGAAGGTGTCGTGGTTGCCGTCGTAGGTGGCCTTGAACTTGCCGTAGATGAGATAGACGGTGGCATACGCGCACATGATGTAAATCACCTGAGGGCAGAAGACACAGGGGTCACAGAGGACACTGAGAAACGTCCCAATAACACAGCAGAGGTTATTAAACCTGAGTGGACATCTGTAACTAAGGCAGGGGAGTAGTGATTCTTGTTTCTATGGCGTGGAAAAAAAAGTATATATATCAGCTTACCTTCATGACTGTGTTATAGAGGGAGATGAAGGAAGAGAAGAGGTCCAGGTAGCGGGTAGTGAAAACCAACGCAAACAGGATCTGGCTTTTCCCAGAAATGCCTGAAACAACAGGAACCACCCTTAGATGGGACCAGAGCCGCACATATCCCAGTGCGTATTTACACAAACCGAAAGTTACGTCAGATATATTTGTAATACTGTGTCAACATTAGGGGGTGACAATTAAACATTCCCTCAAACTGGCTGCTGCCAAACTGCACATCCTCAAGCTCATCAGACAAATATCAACCGAAATACTAGTGTGGCACCAGGATTCCTGCCCATCCAACTGGATGTTACAAAGGAAGCAGAAGTTGCAGATTTCAAAGGCATAAAAGGATGCAGCTTAAAAACATTCTAACCCCATAATCACTGCCAGTGCCCAAAGTCGGCTCTCTGGTAACCCTTTTGGAGCCGGGGCTGAGGTGAGCATTCTCAGCAATTGGACAGGACAGCTGTAGTTGTTCATTGAGGTTCACAGATCCGTTTACATAAAATAAAGATCATGGCCCAGTATAGGAGGACCACACACAGCCACATGGCTTCAAATGACTATCGATTTCAGATGGACTATGCAACTCCTTATTCCAACGAGGAAACATTTGACCAACTAGACACATCTGGGGAAAGGGGGGCATCTGGAGAGTTCAGTGATTATTGTTCAACTTATTGCCATTGAAATTTAATATTTAGTCTTTTTTATTCAATACAGCTGCATGCTCCTCTCTAAACTAAATGCAAATAAAGCTTTTAACAGATCAGTTTTTTTTTGGTGCACTATCAGTTGTGATTTCCTCATTGCTCGTTTTTTTTGGATTCTTGCAAGGCTACAAATATATTCAGACAGGTGCAAAATGCTTCAAACTCAACGACTTAATGCACATTTAAAACGGACAAGTAAGATGTGAAAGACCACCAAAACAAAGTTCAAAGTAATGTCTCGGTTGCAAGCGAGACCAGACGCGGATCTTCCCGGATGGCGCTGCCACGTCAGAGGGCAGGGCAGGGCAGGCCTCGCCCCCCCCCCCAAACTAAAGTAACACTTTATTAAATGAAACCTACATTAAACTAAACAAACCTCGCCTAAAAAACGGCAGATGTGGGCTATAGCTGAATAAAATTGCCCACCGCCTATATGCATTTTGCATGCCGATCGCCAATTAGCTTACATGCTAACATGGCTAACCTGCAGCAAGATAAAAATGTTCTGTAAGCCGTATATGTAATCTTTAACCATAAAACACTACGAATCTCATAGCTAACTATCTGCACTTCAAATTATGACTCCAAAAAATATCGTGACTGGCTGACAAGACGATGCATCATGGATCGTGTTTTACTTTATTAACTATATGCATCGATTAGCTTGCAACAAATATATTTCTTGGTCGCAGGACATACACAAGACGTGCAGCGAATTAAATATCCGTGTGAACAGGTCCATTAATCCCAAACACCGGCCAAATTTAGCTAACTTTACTAGCCCGGAATATTACTCCACTAAAATCAGTGACATTTCTAATCTGCTGCGCCCTTGCGAAACATGCGCGGCCTATCGATAGACTTGGGAAAAACTATACTGTGCAAGTAATTTCTATATAATCTAGTCATAAATATTTGCTATTAGGCCAACTTCCCGTTTAATGTATTTTCGTGAACTTACCGGCACACGATCTGGTTTTCCATATTTTAAGGAGCAAAATAATAATGGCTGCCAAATGGGAAAGATCGCCGGTAAGCCTGAAAATGTTCATATCTGCGCCGGATTAAGTTATCCTCCACCGGATAGAGTAACAAAGCGTTTCTAAGCCGCTGAAGTAGCGAGTCTCCGCCGGCGGATCTGCAGGGCAGCGGAATATAGCGAGAATCGAGCGACGTGGCCAAAAGGGAAATGACAATGCAAGCCGGGAAGGAATATGCACTGAAAGGAAATCACGGTGCAGTCTGGGAATTAGATGCAGAGATCAGTAAGAAAACCTGGATAAAAATGGAAGTCGCAGTGGGAACTGGGAGTGGGATGGAGAGATCGGTAGGGACACCAGGGTAAAAAAGGAAATCACAGTGAATGATAGGAGTGGGATGGAGGGATCAGCACCAAAACCTGGATAAAAGCGAAACTACAAAAGCACCGAGCGGCTTAAAGAATCAGAATGCAACCAGGGATGGGGCTGAAGGCAACGGCATAGGAGACAGTGTGATATTGGGGGCACATAATCAGTTAAATACATAGGTCTGTTTATTGGGGGGCAAATAAATACCCACCCTTCTCACGGTTCCTGCGCCCATATCTTGAGATACCGATACATAAATTCATTTAAAAGGGACGTACAATGCAAACTGTGAATGCATTGGAAGCGACCTATAGGACAAGACAAAACAGCATTTGACGGTTTACTGTCAAATATGTCATCGACACCCTTGAACTTAATTCCCCTTTTATGCTGCTGGTTATTTAACCAAATTTGATTTAAAAAAAAAGTGAAGTAATGACATGGTCATCGGTACACGAGGAGACTGCTGGTCACCCATTCAGTATGATAAACAGTTATTTAGATAATTACTTTTTTAATTTTTCAAACATATACCCACATAAAATATGGCTATAGCTGGGACTCATTACACAGGCCTTAGTGTATATATGTTAGAATTCACTACCCTACTCCAGATATATTTATGATTGTACAGAATTTTCTTTGTTTCTGATCTGTTCATTCATTTTTAGATCAGACAATTATTGCTTGTTTTACATACAAAAGAAAATGTCTGGTTAACCTAGGAAAATATGATTTGGAGTATCCCAAAGCAGTAGTGAGATATGTTGCCACACAACATGACCGATTTCAAAAAAGTGGATAGATGAGACACACAAGAGGAAGGAAGATAGGCATGAAACAGAAAGAGAGTTCAGTCTTACAGTATTCCTTCGTTTTGCAACAAGTCACAAGACGGCGGTGGACCTTCAAGGAGGATTACAGGCACTTTCTTAAACATGACTCTGGAAACATCTTTAATCTCACTATTTGCTTTCATGCTCACATGCACAGGTAAGTGCAGGAAGAATAATTAATAAGAGAGGTAATTTTTTATTTTTTTTTTTAAGTTTACTGATTTATACCCTTCAGGGTGCACTGTGTACCTACCAGTCATGTAGCACTCAGTGTTTGTACCGAGAGGGTCGCGAGATTAAATCCGTGTCTGGCAGCGTAATCATACATCATTTAATCCCAATTTCTATAGCGGTGCCGGATGCCGTCTGACTTCACAGACTTTTAACTTGGAAATTGCTTTGGACTGAAGTTTCTGCTGAATAGATGTAGTTAAATTTATTAGTAACATTTACGTATGTAAATTATTTAAAAATGGGTAGTTTACTTAGTATGTTGTACTGTCTGGTGAAAAATTAATTTGTATATATCTAAACTGAACTGTTACTTCCTCTGAGGACAGGATAGCAGCCTTACGAAAATGTCTCCCTGGGTACCATAAAAACTCAGTTTTGTCCAAAATCGTCCATTGAAATGTCATTTGGTGAGAATTTATATAATAGGTGGCTGTAAACGCCAACATCAATGGAGAATAAATTCAACCACAGCTTACTTGTTTGCTGCTTTTTCTCTGGTGATTCTCTGGTAAATTGATTTGTAGATAACTGAAGTGAATTGTTACTTCCTCTACAGTCTTCATAACAGCGTTTCGAGGAGTTGTGAAAAACGTCTCAACAAGCCTCTTGCCCTCCTAGTTGTAATCATTGAAATGTTTCTTGATGAGAATCCTCGTATTAAATAATTATAAACCCAGAGATTAAAGCTTCTGTTGCAGCGAGCCATCAATGTAAAATCTGGTAATTTTACATATTCTTAGTCAACACGTTTGATAAATTCAGATTCCCCCATTGTTGTGACATTTGCCAGTGGACACGTGCCAGATCGACATCCGCCAGCAAGGCTGGGTGTCCAAGTGGAGTGGAAGTCCTGAGGCCGTGCTTCACTGCGAGGTCAACTCCACCAGCGACTGCGCAGATAATCTCAAGTTGAGGTTCGTCTGGTTCAAGTTTGAGGCCAATAGCAACAGGACTCTTCAGTCTAATGGAAAGTATGCCCAAAATGCAAGAGAGATGCTCATCAGGAACGTTACCATGAATGACAGTGGGGTGTACTACTGCGGCGTCATAGTCAAGGACTTCACCCGCCCTGGGGGCCGTTATGTTGGCGGGGGAACCCTGCTGGTGGTGAGAGGTCAGTGCAGGCAGCTACTCCATGGCTATCAGTAATGGTGTCTTTTAGTCCTGTTCTCATGGTCCTCGTTACGCACTTTGCCTTATTCACTCTTTCTTTCTTTCAATAATAGATGCCACTCACCCTTGTTCAGTGCCTTGGGGTGACTACAATTCCTATACGGCACTGTATTGCATTGTAATGTCTTTTACCACCCAGAGGTTTTGTCCCTAATTTGCACTGACGTTGGTCCTATTGTCTCTCCTCGTGCGCCTGTTCCCCAACCCTGAAACCACAGCACAAGAGTTTGACTGTGTTCTTTGGAACGAGTGACAATAAAACCTGAAACTCGATATGCGATGCTGATCTAGCAAGTGCTCTGCATGGCGCTAACAGGAAAATATTCTGCTCTGTATTTGCTAACTTTGCCCTGGACCTGCATCTACACTGCTCTATCGGTTGAGCAGAGTACAGCCATGTGAAGCATGCCTTGGTGTGGACGTTGTTCGTCGTTCTGGCTCTGTATAGCCTGGCCCTGCTGGTCCTGCTTATCCTAAAGAAGGTAAGAGAACAGTTGTTAAAGAGGTCATTAGTTGGTTCTTGTTATATGGACGCACTATTGTGGACGTAGTAAATGTCTTTTTGAGATCATGTGTCGACTTTGCAGCTTCAGGCCTTGGTTGAGCTTCACTGGGCCATAACCTGCTTCCTCTCTGTGTGCCAGATGCAGAGGAAAACGGCCCCTTTCACTGGCAGAGAGCATGGCAGCAGTGGGAAGGTTGGTACTGGTGGTTAAGGAATCGTACCAATCGCCAAACGGTCATGGGGTCTCAGAAGACGCAGCTTCAGGCAAACTAAACACCTATGGCGAGTGGTAGGGTTGCACGAAACCCCATCGCAGCTGTATGGCGCATGTGCAATAAACACCAGGGCCTTAGATGACGGGCATAAATTTTGTCCAGATGCCGGCTTTTCGATACTGTATGAATGTTTACTTACGGCCACAATTTGGGAAGCAGATTAGGAGTACGCCAATAATATTAAAAAGAGGGGTGCACTGTGACGCCCAAAAGTTAGTCATTTGTATAAATTCAGCATATACTTAGTTTACTAAACGTGTTGGATGTTTAAGTGCCACCACACCACCAACATGTTTCTACTTTGTTTATCCACAATGTCTCCTCTTTTAAAAGATGTTGTGGCTGCTGATCTGTCCCATTCTTCACCGCCGCTTCAGTTATTCACTTATTGCTTCTATGATTTACCGAAACAGCAGTAGGCAGCGTGCTCCGCTAACTGAATTGAGTAAATATAGGCATATAGTCTGCATGATTTCAGCAGCCAGCGGGGTCATAATGAGACACGCCGACCAGCATGCATTTGGCTGGTGCGGGAATGCAGCGATTGTGACAGTCCTTCCTCTGCAGGACGGCCCCATTCGATCAGCCCAGTTCCAAAATGTGGTGCGAGAGCTATACAGCAAGAGGAACTTGCAAAAGCACATGAAGAAACACAGCCTGACCCCAGTTCAGCCAAAGGTGCCTGACATCCACATCCTTAAGTCGACCCAAACATGGAAACACAAATGACTTTGACTTGATTATAGCCAGTTGGGAGACTCCATACATAGAACTAGGACTTAGTTTGTATCCAAGGGAAACCCCAATGCAGTGTTACCTCAGGGACTATTCAGTCAAAATGTGTTTTTGTGGATGGACACAGAAACAGCCTAAGTGACTCAATAGACACATTAAGTTCCTGTTTAGAGGTTTTCTTATTGCCTGCAGGTTTAGCACTTCCACATAAACAAGCATAGTTCATAAACATGGGCAGTTTGTTTGCAGTATGGAACATCTCACTGTCTAGTTTTCTGTGCCTGGATACTCGTAATTGTCAGGTGTGTCAATGCATGCAGTGATGTTCCACCTGAGGCGTACTCATGCAGACAGTCCACTCCATACCCCTTTCAGGACGAGATGACCTGCTCCGATTCAGTGGACGAGACTGTGTACCAGAACATGTGAGCACAGAACGCCTGGCCTGGAGTGGAATAATGGGAAACAGGAGGAACCTGGGAAATTGTAGACACCACGGATCCTTAATATGGAAACGCAGCAGCGGTGAGGCAGAGACAGGCTCATAATATCCAACTAACCCAACAGACTGCTTCACTGGGCAAGTCCACTTTCAGTCGGTGATCTGCGATTCCTCCAGACCTCCGAGATCCACTTAGGATGTTAAGATCCTGTCAGGTTAACTTCTAGTATCTCTACTTTGGACTCGGGGGTAGTCTTCGGATGGGGGGAGGGGTGATCACCAGCGTAATGAGTATATGGTCTGTTAGAACTGGTTATGTACTCTCTGTCAAATGACTATCAAAACAACAAAGATATACATTCAGTGATGCGTAAACTTGCAGCAAGTAGTAAAACAATTAAATGTTTATTTTTTCTATAATAAATTCTATTCAAATAGCAATGTGGTTTTACTCAGTGCTTAGTCAGAGGCACATAAATCAAAGATTTCAGTTTGAAAAAGATCTATGAGTAACAAAAGTTAAGAATAAATCTCATGGTTAGGTCCACTGTGATTGGTTAGTTTAGGGAATTCCAGAAGCACATGGCTAAAGCTCGCTTGGCACTACATGAGATGCCTTCACTAATAGTTTATCGTGATTCATATACGTCCCACATTTTCCCAAAGTTGACATCCCTACGGTGTTGAGCGGCTCAGGTTTCGGCGTACTTGGCATCTACTGTGTGGCTGTCTCTGATGGAGAAAGGTCTCCACACAAAAGACTGCAAGAGGGCGACACCCAGGGGCAGCAGGCAGACCAAGCGGAACATGGCACCGTGGAGCATCTGCAGGGAGCTGGGGAGGAACCCAGAGGAACAAGACTATGGGTACTGATGGGCCTGCAAGCTACCAGCAAGGCTACTGGGGCACCACGGCGAAAGTTGAGGTGGTACAGAAAGTCACCGTGACCGCTGTTGAGAGGACGTGCTCCGACCATACCTGGGGTCCGCCACGGCGCTTACGTCCTTCAGGTCCTCGTAACCGAACTTGTTGAGCAGAGTCACCACCAGCATGGGTGCCAGGGACTGGGCGGGCTTCGTGAAGAGGGCGTTGGTGCCAAACACCATGGAGGACAGAGGCGAGCTGGCGTGGCATGGGGGGAGGGGGAAGGTCACCCAAATGCTACAGTGCTCTGTTAAGTCCAGGTCGTTCTGGGAGCCTGAGGTTCACTCTACATAGGCATGCAGTGAACTCCATCAGAATAAGAGGCCTACAGAAGCAATCATTCACCATCAACATCAGGCTTGGGTGGAATGACAGTATGACGGTATTCCCCAGCACTTAGAAATCCCAAAGGTATTATTTTTAATACCGTAAAAAAACTTATTTCTATGAAACGGGTGCAGAGATGGTGTATTGAAGCGTAGTCTGGTAATGCATAGGGTTAGAGGTGAAATGAGCTTCAAATGAAGTCATCAACTAAAGGGATTACCTGCGTTTGTAAGTGTGAAGATCCAAGTCTATGATGTCTGCCAGGGGCAAGTTAAACAGATTGAAAGTGGCCTGAACCAGGACCCTAGAAGAAAGGGAAAGAGGACAGCGATGAAGCTCAAAGATCAAAGACTCGCTGTGTCACATTTAGCAATCTGGCAGCTTAGAATCACACTGTGCAGCCCTTCATAGTGCTGAGCGGAGTACCATCAATATCACTTATCTCCTGCACAAACAAAACTTTGAATATAGGGCAGGGATCTTCAAATCTGGACCTCAAATCCAAATCCAGGCCTTGTTTTCAATTCTCCCAGGTAGTTGGTTTAATAATGACTGATTCTGATTGGTCAGAGGCTTCATACCCAGCTCACAGGTAAAGGAAGGCTGGAAAATCAGCAGGGCTTGGACTTTCAGGACCGTGATTTGAATAACCCTGATAGGGTATCATCTCTTAAATAACAGAAAAAGAATCCATCACACAAGAATGCTCATCTATGACCTTTATCATTCTATTTCACTACAACTATTCCTCTCCTTTCCACATGATGTATATATCTGACATTATGCCTGCCGTGAGTTACTCTGCAGTAGATGAGTATTAATCAGCCATTTATTAATAATGTTATTTCGGTTTAATGTTTTCATGTGTTAAGCTGGTGTTTCCCAGCCCCGGTCCACAGGGGCCCCCAGACAGTCCACGTTTTTGCTCCCTCTCAGCTTTCTGCCAGACAGTCCACGTTTTTGCTCCCTCTCAGCTTTCTGCCAGACAGTCCATGTTTTTGCTCCCTCCCAGCTCCCTGCCAGACAGTCCACGTTTTTGCTCCCTCCCAGCTCCCTGCCAGACAGTCCACATTTTTGCTCCCTCCCAGCTCCCTGCCAGACAGTCCACATTTTTGCTCCCTCCCAGCTCCCTGCTAGACAGTCCACATTTTTGCTCTGGGTTGGGAAACACTGTAGCTGCACCTATAGCCAAAAAGAGCTGGTTGGGGCCTGTGCTCACATGTTGCAGATGATGAAGACGGCCAGGATGTAGTAGTGGCTCTGCCCGAGCAGGAGCATGACCAAGGCAGCCCCTGCTTCCAGGTAAAAAGATAGCAGGATCAGCCTGTAATACCCCAGGCTCTGCAGCAGCCTCTGGGAACTCAGCACCAGAATCTAAGAGACAAGATGGGCAGGAAACCGATTGACGACGAGTTGAATTGATGATGAGGAATCATTGCCGATCAGTACAATACCATATGCCGTCTAGATATTCACACCTGGGGGCAGATGAAACCAGCCCCGTACAAAATGCTCTTAGCTGTTGAGGACAGGGCGTCCTGAGGGATGAGGTGTTCCGCAAATATCAGAGTGAAGTTATTGCAGAAAGCCACCATGAAGACCTGGAAAAAGTTCATGATCACAAACAACTGGAAGTCCCTCTGGGAGACGATCTGCCAGGTCATGGAGCCAATGGCGGTGAGGGAGAGCGCAGGGGCGGGGCCAGGTCGTGAAGAAGCCCCGCCCTCATCTGCACCATTCCGGGTGTCGTAGCGACTGTCGCTATGGAAACCAGTGTAGAGCATACAGCAGCAGGCCACGACTGCCACCAGAACAGTCACACCCTGAAAGGCCCCAAAATCCTCCATGTTATGAGACAGCAGGCTGCAAAAGAGCACGCTAGAGGAGCCCAGCAGGGAGGCCCCCTGGCTGTACTGCACGAGCTGCAGGCGGCTCTGGTGCCGGGCCGAAATCTCAGCAAAGAGGGCGCACTGCGCCAGCAGCACGAAGGTCAGCAGGCCGTCGAAGGCGCACAGAGCCACCGACAGGTGCAGGCCGCTCAGCCAGTCGCCCGCTGAATAGGTTCGCCATGGGAACCAAGCGATCAGGAAGGCCAGGCAGTACAGAGGCGCGCCGTACAGGATAGACAGTCTGCGCTGGGAGCAGCAGGGCAGTCGGGAATTGTCCTGGATGTATCCAAAGAGTGGGTCATTTATAGCGTTCCAGATCATGTAGATCACCTGAAAAGCAAAATACCGCACATCAGTAAATAATTTAGGTTTAAGAAACAGGGCTGCTCTACGGACGATTCCAAGGGCAAATGTGGAGCATAATTGGATTGGTCTGGGTTGGGGGTCTAATATAAAACGCTTTCATGGGGCCCAAAATCTCCGGGTAAGAACTCCGGGTAAGAAATACAATGTGCAAATATTTCCTTGACAAAACGCTATATTCATTTATATAAGGTTTAACTTTGCATGGACTGTAAAAGAGAGAATGAGAATAAATAGCTAATATTTCGCTATACATTGTATCAGCAAATCACAAATACAGATGATGTACATCCTACTCACCTGTGACCGATGGAAATCTCCTTCGGATATCTTGTACTTGCTCAAGAAAAGTTTAACGTAATAGAAGCTGAAAATGCTGTTCATCATCCCAGCTCCTACTGTGGTCATACTGTATGCTACAGCAGCCGGATTCATTCCTAAACTTACAAGGAATCTCATCGCGTCTCCAGTGTATTTTAGCAAGATTTTCTTAAGGCATGTGCTTTTGCTGTCGTTATGACCGGTGGAGTTAGGGTGCTCCAAAATGCCAGACAAAAGAGAATCCAGCGACTAAACCTTCACATACAGACAGCCGAAGAAGAATCTTGACAATACAAGCATTATATAAAGGTAGTACTTTCAGAAAATGACTTGCTGTACTTTTATATCCCCAAGCAAAATAAACGTGCATATTCAGTCTTAGTTGCATACATAGAAAAAGCACAGCTTGTTTTTCCTACCATTTTGACTTGCTTAACTGGAAGTACCGGCAACAAGGGTTTGTGCGCCTTAGCTATTGGACAACTTATGGTCCGAACCCGCCTTCCTTCTTATTCATTGGTTCATAATATGATCAATCAAGTATAGTAACGACGTCACGCCCCTAATTAGCATACTGAGGAAAGAGGCGGTTGCCACGTTGCTGCAGACCGGGCGCGCCGCTGGAGGATGTTAATACGCCGCAGGGACCCCGGCAAGCTTGTCGCCTGAGACAACGGGACCGGTGAGAGAAGCCTGTGGAAAGGCGGGCACATACGTCGGCAGGGTGAAAATGTTAAGCGATGTGACCCTGGAGCAGGAGTTCGAAGGCAAGAAGGATGTTTCGTGGTACGACGTGGAGGATGTGAAGCGAGGTGAGAGTCTCTAAAGGATGGGGGGGGGGACAAGGAGCCGTTCTGAAGGGCATCGGTCGCGCCCATATAGCATGGCACTACAGCATAAAGTGTGCTGGATAGACAACGCCTTTTAAGTGTTAAACCTCTTTAAATGCACTGTGTCGTAATAGTGTTATATCATGTAATAAAAGATAAAAATCCATGCAGTGGTCTAATGTACAATGCTGTTCAGATTCTGCTGCGTTGTCTGATTTACAGCATTTGGAAAACGATTATTACTAAAATACCAACTCGTCCTAAAGATGATTATATTAAAGTATTGCTAAAACCATCAAACGAGACGATCTTTCTGTCTAAGATAACAGACCATTTTTTAACATTTTATATATTGAAGCTAACTTTATCGATCTGACAAAAGGATCTCTTTAATTCCTAGAGGTTTTTCAGTTATGCTTTTGTTCTACAGCCTAGCTTCCAAATCGACGTGACATCAAAAATTACAGCTGTTTTTTTACTGCGCGCTGATGTACTAAAATATACTGTGTTTTCAAGGATAATTATTTTCCAAATATTAAGTGGTTTCTGACATTTTCTTACAAATGACACTAAAGTAAAATTCGGAGCAGTATTTGCTTCTGACAGCCGTGAAAGACTTAGAATTTGTTAAAAAATCGTGGAAATAGAGGATTTTGCTTTTTAGTGTTAACACTATAACTATGCAAAAATACATAAGTGAGGATTATGTTTAATGGTAGATTCATATGAAACATCATTTACCTTTGTTTAAAAGCATTTGAAACATGAGAATGCGCTCATAATATTTGGATTACGCCATAATATTTGGATTAGTTCGTTGCTGACCTGCTCTGCGCCCGGACAGCCGGTCGTCCCACCCCCACCTCGCTTAGCGTGAGTGGGTGGGCGTGTGCAGCAGCACTCAGCTCTGCCCCGTGTGCCGCGTGCGTTTCAGACCTCCACTTGGCCGCCGAGCTGGGTAAGACCTTGCTGGAGCGGAACCATGAGCTGGAGGCGGGTCTACGGCAGATGTACTCCACCAATCAGGAGCAGCTGCAGGAGATCGAGGTGATGCTCGGGACGCGGCGGCAGGACCAAAACTGCACAGGGGAAGGGAGCTGAAAGTCAACGAACTGTCCTGTGGGGAATATTAGCCATAGATGAGTTTTTTTAAAATGAGGATCAATAATATGTACTCATATTTTGGCAGACATAATCCTCTGCCAGCACTGACCTTTCGTCTAGGAAGCCACTATCCAATAGTTCAACAGTCAGCTCGTGCTGACAGCCACAGTCTATAGAACAAAGGTTAACGTCTAACTTGAAACACAAAGCGTTACATCCGCTCCTCTGAAAAAATCTGCCTTTAGCTTCCTGACGCGACTTCGTGTTCTAGTTAGCAAGGAAGAAGGGGATTAAACTCGGAACAGCAGGGAAATAAGATGGAAGAAAAAATAAACAAAAGCGTGAGCCATGCTGATCATGATTAAAAAGAAAAACTGCAGCGATATTAATAAAGAAGATGTACAGAAGCGGCAGAAGATCAGAGAGTTAATAGGTGGATAATCAGCTCTGCTAGGAATTAAACAGCACAGCAAAGATGAGTCCTGCTTTGGTTAGTGTTTTGCATTAATCTTTGCTGTCTGGAAATATGTGGCACGTTACGCAATGTTTTTGTCATGTTTTATTGAATGGAAAGGGAGCAAAAGCGTGACACTTCCCCTGCCGCGCCCATGCCGGATTCCTTAGTGGTAGATAATGACACTTCATGCTAACTTGTCAAAAGACATAAATACTGGTTCTTAAGTGCACAGCAGTGCATGATTATTACAGTTGGTGCCTTTTCGGTGCATAGAAGTTCACTGAAATCAAACCTATCTGTGAACCAGCTAACAAAACTATGAAGTTTATCTTATTAAACATCCTTAGTGTCCATAATGGATAATGCGAACTCAGGTAAGCTTGTCACCAGTAATATTGGTCATGGGTGATATGGAACCAGAAAGTCAGTTAGTAACCTCCATCTCATCACTGGCTGGCTGTCCTACCCTGTGCTCCTGTTGGGGTCTCCTATACTCACATCGTCCTCTCACTCCGCCCTCTCAGTACCTGTCCAGGCAGGTGGAGCTTCTTCGACAGATGAGCGAGCAGCACACCAAGGTCTACGACCAGCTGGAGCTGACCTCGCAAAAGCTGGAGCAGGACAACCACCGGCTGGTCTTGGAGAACCGCATGGCCCAGCAGAAGATACAGTGGTGAGACAGAGCTTCGATGGCGGGGCATCTGTCAAGGAACTGGACCGTTATCATATTTTATGTGTATATCATACTATTAGGGCTGCATTATATCACATCGCGATATAGTTGCGACTGGACATTGAACCAAGATGGCGCCGAAGATTGGCAGCTTTGTCACAAGCTCCTTCAAGCACCTACATACATAGATTTGTCAAATGTCTTATGTGTTATATATTTATACTTCTATTTTGACTGTTAATTCGTGTCGTACTATGGCTGCTTCGAGAGGCTTTGCACACAAACATTTCACATGTATAGTAGCTGTGTAGTGGTGAGAAGTGAAGTGACAATAAAAGTGATTTGATTTGATATTTGCCATATATACTATAATCATGTAAACAGTGAAATGGGACCTTTGGTCTGGGACGCTCACGCCTGCTTCTCTGTGATCCTCAGCCTATCAGAGACCATTGAGGGTCTGCAGACACAAATGACGGAGCTGCAGCAGCAGGTGGAGGACCTGAAGCCCGCCCAGCCAGACAGCACTAGCCGATCTGCCCAGCCGGGCAGCGGGAACAAGGATCCGTCGGAGTGGGTGTCGGGCCTGGCCTCCCCAGGCATGTGCTGCGTGATGGAAACCCCCCCTGAGTGAGTACCTCCCTCCCACCCTGCACCACCGCTGCGTCTGATCAGTGCCGTACTCCACACATCCCTGCATGGCCTCTTTCTGCTACCAGTAGCTTGTACCTGAGAATCAAAGCTCTAACCACAAGGGGGCACTCACACATGGCCCGGCAGCCCTGCACCGTGCCTGAGTATGATCACCCCCGTTTCCCGCCGGTGTGCGCTCACATTGTGCTTAACGTTTCGACCCGAGCACACTTTTGTCATCACTTTTTGTGTAGAAGAAAACGTCGGAAGAAAAGCGCTTTTGCACAGCACAGTGGACTTCAAGACCGATGGGCTTATTTTACGGATTATTTGCAGTTGTTTTGGGCGTGATGACATATAGCCCTCTCGTAGATTTATCGAGTATGCAACACGGTGATTTTCGTTTAATCGTGTTGCAGGTTTAATAACACAGTCCCATATTTTACCAAATTTCCAGCAAACACTGCACCTCTGGCATTGACCAAAGTGATCCCTTAAGTGCAATGTTTGTTAAATATTTGTTGCTACCCGAGCTGTACAGCTACCCGAATCTTTCCTTCCGGGCCCAGTTCATGTTTAGTGATCATGTGCGCATTTATGTGCAGGTACCTGCACGATTGTCTGAGTTCTGTGCTCGGGCACGGATAGTGATCGCGCTAGTCGTGCACAAATCCAACTGAACCATGCCCAAGTCTTCAAGCAATTCTGGGTAAGGAGGATGGTATGGGGCGATAACACTAGTCAAACAAACTAGACTTTGGAGGTGAAACGTGCTTGGGCATGGTATGGATTCCCTAGTGTGAGTCAGCCATCACAAATGAAAGCAGATAGAATACTCCAGGTCCGACAAGCTTCTAGATGACCCAGCAGCTAACGCTACCCGGTTTCCTCTCCTAAACTCACAGCAGGGATCTTTTTAGGTACCAGCCAGTCCGTTTCACCACGGTAATCAGAGTCAGCTTCATTAGCCATGTACAGCCTAAGCACAAGGAATTTGTTTTGGTCTAACTAGTTACTTTAAAGTGAAATAAAGTAAATTACAAAAGCGACATAACATAGAGAAGTACTGGTGTTAAAAGTGATTAACTGCGGTACTTCCAAAGTGAATGTGCAAGTAAAATCCTCCTAGATGTGGCAGGGATGTGGTTATGTGGTGGGCAGTCTGGGCAGGGCCTTGGTGAGCGTGACTGTAAGGGTTCATGGGTGTGACCAGACAGGACATAGACTGCAGCCTGACCGAGGTCGACCTGGCCAACGCGGAGGAGGAGAACGCCGCCCTGAAGGTCTCCCTGCAGACGCTGAGGGCGCAGCTAGGGGCGGAGGAGGCGCGCCGGCAGGTGGCCGAGCAGGAGGTGGAGCTGGCGGCGCAGGACAGCAGTGTCCTGGGACAGCGACTGGCCGAGCTGGAGGGCTGCTGGGAGCGGCGGCAGCGGCTGGAGCAGCAGGTGGAGGAGCTGCGGCGGCTGTGGAGCATAGAGGCAGCCCGGGCCAGGGCGCGGGGAGGCAGGCTGTCCTCCGAGACGCTCCTCACCCCCCTGCATGAGGAGGAGATTGACATGGGGGCGGAGTCGGGGGCGGAGTCGGAGGCGGAGTCTGACGTGGGTGGTCCTGAGGGCAGGCATCTTGGTGATGGCAATCTGCTGAGGAGCCCAAGTACCGAGGACCTTCTCCAAGGGCACGAGCGCCTCTGTGCCCGGCGCTCCCAGGCCGTCCGGCCACGCGGCTCCTCCCTCCTACGCAAGGTGGACGAGCAGTACAGTGCCTTGCAGGCCCGCTACGACGCACTGCTCAGCCGCTGCCAGCAGGTGGCAGACGGGCCGAGCCACAAGGCCGTACAGACCACGGGCACCGACAGAACTCACCGTCGCTCCACCTCCTCCGCCGAGACTCCCGGGGCCGACGTGGACGCCTCCCCGCCTGAGTACAGGGCACTCTTCCAGGAGATCTTCAACTGCATCCGCAAGACCAGAGAGGACCTGAGTGAGAACCACAGCAAACAAAGCCATTGATGTCCTCATAAAAGCTGAAGGGACGAGAGCTGACACGGTGTGCCTTGGTTTACTTCCTAGGTCACCAAAGCAAGACAACTACACCAACAGCCACCTCACTCAGCTCCAGAAGATCCCGTTTCACTGTAGTTTCTTCATTAAACGAAAAAAAAAACATTGGAACTTGGGTTCCGTATTCTCCCGAAAGCTGACTTTGGATTCCAACTCCCAGAAGGGGCCGTTAACCGTCAAATTCATACCATTGAGGACACCAAGGTCAAGTCCTCAGCATTTTTTTTGCAACTCCAATAGCCACGATCCACCACATTCACACGTAGGATGGGCTTTCGCGTTTGACCTTGGTATTTTGAAAATCATGGCTACGGCTTTGGTGAGATTGTATCGATTATAATTCTGCATGATTCCATAGCACTATAAAGTCTTCCTTAATAATGTTATTGTGAAGGATTATCCATTTGGAAATATTACTCGTAGTCGGTGTGTTATCTGCAAGTGGTAATGAAGTCGTATTGTCACGTAGAGAACTCAGTATGTGTGCGATGCTGCTTGTGTTGTTTTACACTTCAGTCAACAGACCATAATATCACGTCCAGTGATATGATATTACCTCTAAGCCTTTCTGCCGTAGCATTGCCTGGCCACATATACTAGGTAAGGGCTCTTCAAATCTTCAATCCCTTGATTCCAAATCCAGGCCTTGTTTTCAATTCTCCCAGGGAGTTACTTTGATAATTACTGTTTCTGATTGGCCACAGAGGCTTCACACCTGGCTCATAGGTGAAGGAAGGCTGGAAAATCAGGAGTGCTCGGTCCTTGAGGACCGTGATTTGAATAGCCCTGTGTTAGGTGAATTAGTATGAAGCTAAATCTTTTTTATATAGTGTGAAAACCACAACAGGACTGATGTAAACCAATTCATACCTCAGTGGAAAACTGCCTCTGCCTACCAGAGGTAACAATGAATCATTTCAGGCAGCAGGTGGCGCAGTGGTTAAACACTCAGGCTTATTCCATTTTGGGAAATCCCAGTAGGGATTCTGCTGTAGTACCTTGTATCAGGTCATTTTCCCTGAATATCTCTAGGAATGTCTGGCTGTATAAATGCATGAAAGTGTATTAAAATGTTTAAGTTATTTCAATCAAAGTGTTCATTGAATGGCTAAAGTGACATGTAAATAATACAATGTAACCGTCTTTTATTAGAATTGTAGCAAATCGATAGGCACTAATTGATGCATAAGCACACAATGGGTGTGTTTACCTTTTAATTAAAGGCTATTCAGCGTATCTTACGCATTTTTAATGTTTATTACGACAAACTTGATCGGTTTTAGCTTGGTAGTTGTTCGCAAGTAGGTTTTGATTTCAGTGGATTTCTATCGGCTGAAAAGGAATCTGCCGTAGTGATCATGCACTGCCGTGCACTTTAGAACCAGTTTGTGTGCGTTTTTATGAGTTACCATAAAATATGCTAATTTTACCATATACTTAATTTGGGAGCAGTCTGTTCATCCCACAACTAAAATGTGAATTTAAATAGTGCAATTCAAGTTGGATGAAACAGTAGTATTTCTTATGAAGCTTACTGATTTGTTGTGGATTGTTGATGTACAGTATAAACAGAATGGAAGGCTGAACGAGAGAGAGAGAGAGAGAGAGAGAGAGCAAACGGTGACGGATTGGCCTGCTTGAGTGGAAACTGCAGTTATGAAACAGCAGTTAGGGCACTGGAGGACTCGAGTCACTGTAATAAATGGGCCTCTTTAGATCCCGTGTCTCTGATCTCGTAAAAATACTGTCAGCATGTATGTACATCAACATGTCACTGGCTACAGACTATGTGTGTGAGACTGTGAGGAGGCGGAGCCAGGAAAAACAGGGATTTAACGAGAACACCAAAAAAAGGGATTGTTACATTTCTCCTCATTTTTGTGTATTATTTATTATGCGAGTTATTTTTGTTATCTCTGCTTCTGATTAATTTACTGCAAACCGTCCAAGTCCAGGCATTCCACTGGCCTGTCGTCGTTTCACATTGTACTTCGTTTAATAGTGGGAGCACTGGGCAGAAATACTTCTGCAACCTTCTGAGCAGTGGGTCGATGAATTGCACTATGGGGAAAAAATGTGAATTATGTGAAAGAACGACGACAGACCAGGCGAGTAGCTTAAGCGGAGTAGGAAACTGAGTCACTGTACTTCGTTGATGTCTTTGCTGATTACCTTTCGGAATGGAGGTCAGGAGGACCGTATGCTGTTTTGTGAATATACCTCACCTGTATCTGCGGACAGTCCAGGTGTGACTCACAGTGGGATGAAGTGTCTTATTTCAGATGTTAGGAGTACACATACCAGCACACAACCTTTAAGAACAAGGGTGAAAGCAGCTTCGACCTCCTTCCCAGCAAAGGGGAGGAGACGCCCTCCAGATCTTCCAGACACTGTTCCCAGATCAGTCCGTCCGCCCTGACCTCAGCCTCTCCAAGTCTGTGCTTTGTTTTTTAAAGTTACCCAGGAATTTTAGTACCGAACACTTTTCGTAATTTCTAAGTTGCAATAGTGTACATATGAGTAGTGTAAACTAACATGTAAATGTGTTTTTAATTGTTAACAAAACAGTATTGATGTCCGGGAAAAAATCCTTTCTCTATCATATGTAAATTTCTCAAGGCTGTTGTACTGATTAGAATGATCTGCTGCTAGAATATGCACTTACTTACGAAAGGTAAAATAAAAGCATTGGTTATATAAAAACGTTGCGTATGTCGCTGTTTCTGATGAATCCGTTTTCCATTCATGTCATAGGTGATACTAATTTATATGTAATGTGTTAAATGCGATGTGGTTGGAGCATTTTTTTATTAAAACTTGGGCGTGAATTTGCTACAATCAGACTCATAAGATGCATAAAATTAGCGAATGTTCATTTTTGCTGTAACTCATATAAATACCACGATTGCATAATTGATGGAGTAATCGTATAGTTGGCAATTAGCATGTAAAATCATAGCAGATCATAGAGTCCATGGAGTGTGCAATTTTGTTATAGCGCCACAGCGTGGTTCATAATGAACTGTTCCGCAAGCGCCTTGGGGCTATTGCAGTGCATGCAATAATTACAATGTATTACGATTATCACTCAGTACTAAACACAAAAAAATAACAAAAAATGATGAAACGTGTATTTTAATCAGGATTTTTCATTTACAAAGTTTACACATCTAAATAAATTACTGATCGACTTACAACAAAGTGAAGCCTAAATTAATAAAAAGCATCAGGATAAATGATTAAAACAACGCTTCACTTTTTCAGCATCACTACAAAGTAACAAAATAACCCAAGCAGGTTTATCTTAAAATATCTGATTTCCATTAATTAATTGCTGTCATCGAAAATGATTCATATTCTCAGTTCATACAGCAATGCAATGACTACAAAGAAAAAACAGTCCATAATATCAAAAGAGTTACAAAATAATCTTCGTATGAAACCTAGCTTTTTAAATGTATAATCATACATATAAAATTGTATGCAGAAGAAATTCATCAATTTTCCTTCATCCTAGTTTATATTATGTTGTATCTAATTTCACAAGAAAATAAAAACTTGTAAGGATTCCTTTTCACAAGTGTGCTGATGTGCACAAGCAGTTCGGAATGCAATGGAAATATTCAGGCCCAGTGGCATTAAAATACACATACAAATATAATACAATGTAACTATAAAGACAAAGTTCAAAGCTGTTTTAGAGGCAGTTCAGTGTCCTGAGTTTATAAAATGTATGACATAATGTGGTTTCTGGAAATGAAATGTAGAAAGAGAAGAAGCAAGGGATGAGCATGTCACCAGAGAAAGGGATGCTGCTTAGGATGGGACCCATCTGTCACCAAGGCATGTCATGTGACTGGTGCCATGTGACTTTAATGTCAAGATTGGACCAGCAATGTGTCAGTGATATATTATGGGTGTGGCCAGATGTAGGTGTGGGCGTGGCCAGAGGTAGGTGTGGGCGTGGCTAGCAACATTCCCAGCAGTATATCAGCAGAGCTGCCAGGGAGAGCAGCAGAATCAACAGCCAGCTGTATGAGCTGCCCAGCTGCTGGTTTGCCCGCACGGGGCCGGCCTGCAGGTACTGGTCCACTGAATCAGCCAGCTTGTACTTGCGGGGGTTGAAGCCCAGTTCCCGCCGTGCTTTCTCGATTCTGAAAGTGTGGGTGACAGCTATGTTCCTGACCTGGGGGATGGATAACACCATCACCGTCAGAGAGCGATACTCAATGTCAGCTGTGCTGTGGCTTAGAGTGTCCTCTGCCCTTCAGATCAACTCTGTGCCTTGAATGCTAGGCAGACCTCATGGTGATAAACAGAACAAATGGCCAGTTCATCCTTCACAAAGGCATCCTTGGTAAAGTACTTTTCTTCATAAATGAATGAGATATTCATTCCAAATATTTGCTCGTGGGAGTTTTACTTACACAAAAATGTTCTGAGGGCCGAATGAAAAATGATTGGTTCAGAGAGATAACCAATCAGATTATAGAGGAGCTGGGCCCAAGCAATTCGAGGAGGCGGAACCAAGATACCTGATTGGTTGGTCACTCCTCATCTAGTTGCTGGGACCCACCTCCTCTCCAATATGATTGGTTTTCTCTCTGAACCAATCATGTTTTCGTTCCGCCCTTAGAACATTTTTGTGTAAATAAAACTTCTGAACTTTCTGAAGGTTACTGCTGGCCTGTAAGCAGTATTTATAAGTCTTGGAGCCCTGCTTCACTTTGCCTCCTAAACAGGGTATCACTGCCATGCCCCGAGAGACTGACGCTAAGATGGAAGTATCTTGAGTGCCTTAAGTTCATTATGATGTCAGCTCAAGGTCACTCCCTGGCTGATGGCTCCTCCAGCTGGCCCTGTGCCCCCCCGGTTCAGCGACTGCCCAGCCAAATGGGTCTGATGGATGCCAGTTTCGCTGTATCCCCTTACTGAGTGCCAGATTGAATGTCTGTATGGAATATCCTGGGAGCGGACGGACGGACACACACACACACACACACACACACAGGTTTGTAATTATATCTTTGTGGAGACTCTCCATTCATTTCTATGGGGAAACTCTAATTCCATCAATGACGACCCTAACCCCTACCCAGTCCTAACTTTAACCATAAGTAACCAAACAAAAAACGAGACTTTTGGCATTTTAGTTTTTGATTGCCTTCCCAGGTCTTTGTGGGGACATGAAAATGGTCCCCACAATGTCAAGATAATCATTTTTTATTACATTGTGGGGGACATTTGGTCCCCACAATGTAATATAAACGTCATCCACACACACACACACACACAAGCACACACAAACACGTCTGTATTCATATCTTTGTGGGGACCATCCATTCATTACCCCCTATTCAGCTCCAACCTTAACAATAAGTAACCAAACAAAATACAAGGCTTTTTGGCATTAGTGTTTTGCAGGTTTTTTGATTGTAGTCATAGATTTTTATAAAACTGAGTTTCCCCTTGTGGGGCCCAAAAAATGTCCCCACAAGGTAAAAATTACCGGTGGTCAAAATAACATTTGGTCCTAACAATGTCATATATACATACCCCCCCCCCCCCCACACACACACACACACACACAAACCAGCACACAGAGACCCTGGAATACTCGTGAAGCTACGGCATCACTTTACTGCTGAAATTTTCCACGATCATCTCACAGCTGACGAGAAAAACCAAGATGGCGGCTTGTGCGGACGCAGCGGCTCTCCGTTACATTCGCATTTGTACAATCTAAAGGATGATCCAAATGTCATCTCATTGTACTTGTACAATGACAGTAAAGACGTCTTGTATCTTGTATTACATTCTTTAATAAGATTCTTTACCAAGACTAAAAAAAACAGCATAGATCAATAGCTGCTTGTACTTGGGAGTGTCTGCAGGACAGGTGCTGAGTCTAAGGGCCTCCGTTCCGCCTGTGCTCCGCAGACCAGCGGCCGCATGGTCAAATAAGAGCTGCACCCCTGGAGGAAATAGCCCACCAGGTCTTTTCTCATTGGTCGAACCTCAGATCACCTGTGTCCTCAGGCGAGCCGCTCTCTGCCTCATGTTTTATTCAAGGATCGTCATCGGCTTTGCAGCCACATGACGAGTCCTGCTGCCACTACCCTGCCCGTTTCTGTACGCTCATGAAATGCTCTTTCCATTAACTTCCTGCTGATACTGACCACTATAAAGCACTTTGCCAATTGAAATGTGGTCCAAAAACCTCAACCTCAAGTGCAAGTACCATAAACTGACTCACAACCTGACAACCAAGACATTTTTTTCTTTTAATCATTTTAGACCCCCATAATAAAATAAGCAATCCATCCCTTTTAATTACTTGTAATGAATAATACATATAGGAGCAACAGAAACCTGGAGATAATAATTCCCCTAAGGGGTTCTATCAGTGACCCTATCCTGGCCCTCTGGCAGACTTAAACAAGAACCTAATCAGGTGCTGTAACTCGACCCTCCACTCAGCAATCACCCCCCCCCCAGGATTGGCAGAGTAGCGTCATGTGACAGCACGCCCGCACATAACTGTGTCATGTGACCCAAGGTGAGTGGTGTCATCTCAGGCAGTCCGTTCAGGGACAATTAACCAGAGGGGATATGGAAAGTCATACCTCGTTTCTTGTGAAGAGCAGCGGGATCTCTACCACAGGCCTCATGGCCACGTGTAGGCACTCCATCAGGACGGCTTTAGAGACAGCAAAGAGCACAATGAAGGGGATTCCTGTGAAAGACATCTCCAAGGAGAACCCAGTGATAATCCAGTTACTGTAAGCACTGGGAACTACAGCTCTGGACAAAAAAAAATTAAGAGACCACAGCAACCGTTTTTGTTTCACTCCCTTCTCAGTTTATGGGTGTGAATATTTTTTATTTTTTTGCAAACTGCAGCCTGGTTTTTCAAAGGGCTTCTTTCTTGCTTTATGGGATTTCAATCCTGCTTATAGGAGCCTGATATGAACTGTCCTAGCAGTGCACTTCACACCTGCGCTTAATGTTTCCCATTCTTTTTGAAGGTCACCTGATGTCATCCTATGATGCACGAGAAACTGCCCGATAAGTTGACGGTCATCTCCGACATTAGAAAGTTGCTTCTGCCCTCTACCTGGCTGGTTTCTGGTTGCTCCCAGTGTCTCCTGCTTCACCTTAATTTTGTGTGCTGCTGCTCAGTGTGTGCTACTGCTCAGTGTGTGCTGCTGCTCAGTGTGTACTGCTGCTGCTCAGTGTGTACTGCTGCTCAGTGTGTGCTGCTGCTCAGTGTGTGCTACTGCTCAGTGTGTGCTGCTGCTCAGTGTGTACTGCTGCTCAGTGTGTGCTGCTGCTCAGTGTAGCCCTTCTGCCAACAGAACCAGGATTAAACTAGGATTTTAAAATGCAGATTTTTAAAAACATGTAGAGTGGTCTCATAATTTTTTTACCACAGCTGTGTTTAGTACAACTGTCCTCAGAATAGAAACGGGCCAGTCAAAATGAAGTCAATCCAGTTTCAATTCCTGACTGACTGGCACAAGTATGAGAAGACTTGTGTCGTGACTGAATGGCATGTCAGAGATCCAAACAGATAAGTTCTCTACCTGCAGAATAGACCAGGGAGACGGGGAGATGAATCGACGGGCGACTGTGGCCCAGCTTCTCAAACTGTGAACAGACAGTAGACACAAAAGTGCTGGAGGGGACGTTGCACATTCTGAATTAATTGCACAATCCCACTACACTGAAAGAACGAAAGGTAAGCCAGACTTAATATTACCGTTTTGAAAAGAGGGCCTTTCTATATGACATCATCAAGGCACAGTACACAAGCAGGTATCAAATGTACGAGGCTACTACAGAACTTAAAGGCAAAATAACTGGCCAATCGGAACTTACCAGGGGTGTGAACCATTCAAACAGGTTCACCGCCTCGCCATCATTGATGAAGTAGGCCTGTCCACTCTGAAGCACAGTGAGATCAGCTCTTACCCACAGCACACAGACCCACACACTCATACTGTCAAGTGTATTTGTATAAGCTGTCAGCCATGCTCCACTGTAACGTCACACGCATTCCTAAATGGTGGGACAGCCCCATTAACATCCGTGGTGGCATTGACCGTCCATGGCATTGACCGTCTCCCTGGTTCTCTACTTTGCTGCTTGGCCTGCTGGCTGTGCAGTTCTCCTGTGGTTCTGTGGTGCTCCAGGTGTCTAGTTCCACCTGAGAGACAGCAGAAGTGGAGGAGACCCTCACCGCGACGTAGCCCTTGCTGGGCGTCAGGCCGTCGGCAGCCAGGATGTGGGCCATGACCAGGTTGTCCACGTGCACCCAGTTGATCCGCGCCTCCTGGTTCCCGAAACTGAAGCTGAAGAGCCGCCTTTCCACGTTCACCTGGGATCACAGATAAAGCTCCCTGTCTCCCACACACATGGGTCACATACACCTATGTATTGCCATAAAAAGCATCATTCAGCCGCTCTTTTCGTGTAATTCCTGATCCGCCACCAAAACATAAACTTAAGAAAACATATGATATTTGTCCTGTTGGGACACAAATACACACTCAAATATCCCCCACCACGAATTTCACGCACACACCTCTCACTCCTTCAGCCCAAAACCCAATCTGAATCTCATCTGGCTGTTCCGAGGCATCAGAGAGCTTCATAACCCCTTCAACCATCAAAACATTTAGCTTACATGGGAAAAACCAGCAATTTCTTAGGTGAATTTAGCCAGAAACAGATTGATTTCGCCAAGTATAAATATGTACAGGGAATTTGTCTCTGTGTGTCCGGTCATACATAAATGCAGGTCTCCCCATTTAACATCCATTCGATCAACGTCCATTCGCATTAACAGCTGCGGCCTAAAAAATCACAGTAAAAAATTAAATCTGTGGTCAGTGTAGATCCCCGATGGGGACATTGTGCTCCAAAACTGTGCCAACCTTTCGGTAAGATATGAAACTGATTCCCTGGGGTCATAAAAGATCTCTGGGCATCCGTGACGGCAAACTAAAATGCCTTGTATTTTGTTTGGTTCCTTATCGTTAAGGTCAGGGCTGGGTCCGGGGCTAAAATCGCCCACTGTGGCCCCATCCCCTATATCTAACTGGTGAATTCTCTCCTTCCCCCTCACCACCTTAGTTACTGTGTGGTGAGCGTACTGGTGCAGAAAGGATGCCGTCGCATCATCCAGGTGGGGGCTGCACAGTGGTGGGGGTTAATATGGCTCCCCATTGGATCTGTAAAGAGCCTTGGGTGTCTTAAAAAGCGCTATAGAAATGTAACCTTCATTATCAGCTCATTTTTCACATCTGCACCCTGACTTCCATACTTAATGGGATGTTTAAATTCCGGCTCTACGCCGCTACGCTCCGAGCCGCTCGGGACACGCGCCGGGTCGGAGAAAGTGAGGTAAGTGGAGCACAGCCGGTAATCCGGGAGAGCCTCTTAGCGGCCTGTCCCACGGTGAACCCGGCCCGTCTCCTGCCTGCAAGGGCCGGAGAGCGCGGGACATGGAGCGGGTAATGAGATCCTAGGAGCTCATTAAAACTGCATGGCCCCAAGGTACGCTCTGCCTCCCTCAGCCTGGGGGGGGGGG